AAAACGCATCAGGATGTAGTATATAGTGGATATACTTCAATGCATGTCGTAGAACCGTTAGTGCTTGGACCCTAATAAATTGATTGAATGTTGGTGGAGAGTTAGTGATGAACACTCAGCAGATTTCAAACTCTCACTCAGCTGCTGTTTCCAAGGCCATGAATCAGTCTCCGTGTTGCCAGGCGACCAGCGGTTAACACTTATCAAAATGTGTGACTCCATCTGAAAATATATATATAATAAATAAATGATGGATATATTTAGGCAAGACACTGAAGGTAAGAATAATGTTCCTGATACTCTGGTCACATTTTACATTCTTCTCTACAATATCTTCTCTCAGATGTCTTTTACTGCATTTAATTTTTTTAAAAGTGCATAATTAATTAGATCATGTCTCTTGCATATATTTTAAATACATATATATTTAAAAATCTTTATATAAGTAGTCGATGGAGGAGTTTCATTGTGATATCTTTCAAATTTGACCTCATTTTAAAAAGTATGTTTTTCTCCCTTTATAAATCATCAGCATGATGGGATCTAACAGGCACTCAAAGGGTTAAAATTCTGAATTTAGATGAGATTGTGGTTTTTGTTGTCAGAACTGGTGCAGATTTAAGAAATCAAGTGATGAAAGTGGGAAAATTGGCTAATATATTAACTTTAAAGCACTTTGGGAACATAAACAGGCCATAAACACGCTGACTGGGAGTTTTTGGACACTGCACAAACAATTAATGATGAATAAAAATCACTGGTACTGCTCATTATTGACATACATTTAGTTGCATTGATGGTTAAAAAATTAATCAGGTAGAATGTATTATTTGGTTTAAAAAAAAAAGAAGTGGTTTCATGTTTTTCTCTCTATAAATTATCAGCATGATGGGATCTAACAGGCATTTAAAGGGTTAAAATTCTGAACTTCAAAGAGATTTTGGTTTTTATGGTCAGAACTGGTGCAGATTTAAGAAATCAAGAGGTGAAAGTGGGAAAATTGGTTAATATATATTCATTTTAAAGCATTTTGGGAACGTAAACAAGCCACGAACACACAGTTTTATCTACTTTGTGCTCTCCGCTCAAACATAATGCGTAAAAAGTAAAATATAAATCAAAACTGGTCTCAATAATTGGAAGATTAACTCAATGGGACAATCAGCAAACTATTTTTCTAACTTTTCAAGGAACGCTAACACAGCCTCCATCTTTTCCATCTCGTTAACTGTTGCTTTAGTTTGTGTGTTTTGGTTGATTTTAATGGTGACGGCTACATCGATGATTCTACTTTCCTGCCCCATAAAAAAAAAGCCCCATTTATCTTTAATTGCCGTCTGAATATCTCCCACTGCTTCATCACAGCTCGACTCTTCTGTGTGACAAAGGAATGAAACCACACTCACACAAACAAGACTTTTTTTTTTGGTTAGGTTTATTTTAAAAAAGTCAAATATACAGTTGATATATATTTAATATAATTTAGATGGTTATAACTGAAGGGGATGCAAACACGATGACAGATCGTAGAAGAAGCTGTTGCGGGTTTTTCCGTCGGCTGTCGAGGGGGGAGGAGGGACGCTGGGTCGAACTGGAATGTTTTACAGTGCTGAGTTAAACAAACAGGATGAACAGTATTGAGAACACATTACATTCATCAACTGGACATTTTAAAATAAACATAGTGGGGTGGAGACGAGAGGCGGATGCTGAGGGGTTAAAGACACCTGAGGTACACGGAGGGGGGGGGATCTTCTTTAGCATTAACTCGATTCTTGCAAAAGTAGAAAGCGACAGAAAAAAAAAAACGTCCTGGTGTTCGAAATGTTGTCTGGGAACTTTGGTCAAATATTTCCTTCGGTCTTATGAGCAGGTGCAATGAATTCCTCCATGGAAGCCTGTGACTGCTCCATCTCTCAGATATATTGCACGACACACTCACTGAGCCCTGAGCTTTAAGGGGAAAAAATAAAAATAAAAATAAAAAGGGGAAAAGCAACAGCAGCTTTTTCTGGCAAAGGTACAGTCATTCTGCCTACAAGACAAATCAGCAAAGAGAGAGAGAAAAAAAAAGGACTGATACTCGAAATAATTCCTGTTACCGTTGCTTTCCTTTTGCAGGGAGGTGATGAGGGCTTTGTTTGGACTCATTAAAAAAGGCAGGAAGACCAACCGTACTTTTGCCAAAAACATCCTTGTTTTTGTTCCCCTTAGAAGATGTCAGTCTTGATTGAGAACAACACAACCATTGTAAAAAAAAAAACAGACAAAGCTGACTTATTGCTTAACAAGAGGAGACGGTCATCAAGCTTTTCTCTAAAACAAAAATAAAGCAGGCTGTTACATGATGAGGAGGAGGAGGAGGTCTAAACCAGACACGAAGCACAGATTGACTGAAAATCTAAAATCATCTGCTGGAGTTAGTGTTAAAGCGAGTTAGAAGACAAACAGACGAGTCCTTAGCGCACGAAGAGAAGCTTCAGTTATTGGAAAGAAAATAAAAAAATTACAGACAATCTGACATTTCGTTCGTCTTTGGTGTTGACGTCCAAACTGGTGGAATGTTTATTTTCCCGCAAAAGGAGAGACGGAAGTTCACAGAAAGGAGTTTGAATCGGCAAATCTTTGGACGCTTTTGGAGGATGAAGCACCGCAGACGGATGGCTTTGGTTAAAAGGCTTCATTTTGTTTTTTGGAGTGCGACGACAAACTCACAAGGCACCTTAGGTAGTTAAAGGGAAACGTGGAGGACGAAGGCCAGAGAGACGACGCCTGATCGCATTCAAATCAAACGTTCCTCTCGTTAAAAGGTCTATAAAGGTTATAGTGTACAAACATGATGCTCGCAGCCCGTCCTCGGTTTGGTTTTTTGAAGTTATACAGAAAGAAAAACTAATGCTGAGAAGGTGGAGCTGGAAACACGAGGCACTTGTACGACTCGACTCGACTTTCCTGAGCCTTTCAAGGTTTCGTTCTGGATTTTCAAACCACGGCGGAAGCGGGTTTAAGGTTTCCAGCCTCGCAACTGAGAGGACGAATCATTCAGACTGTGTCAAACGGCCGCCGTCCCGCTTGGTTCTGGTCTGCAGCGGTTCCCCTCTCGTGTGTCGCGCTTCATGTGCACAGAATGAAGACTCGGTGGGCCAAGTCGCTTTCGATAAACTGGAGGATTATAGCTTCACTGCCATCAACCACTTGGACATAAATGATTTCTATGTGCGGTTACAGAACGGACCTTTTGTTTGTTTTCGAGAAGTGCAACTTGTTTTTTTTCCCTGATGGTGGCTCTTCTGTCACATGTCCACAACGCAGCAGAACGTTTCTGTTCATTTAGTTGCACAAGAACGTCCTAACCACTGGTCAGGGCTGCAGGATGGGGAATAAACATAATATATTACTACTATTACAACAACTTCCTTGATTTTCGGGGGCAGAAACGATTCCTTTAAATCCATTTTGTGCACACGTCGCCCTTGATTCCTGAACACCACAAAGACGCCCGACTTCATCACACAAACTCCACGACTGACGGACTCATCTCACATCCACCACGACGGACACATGCACACCACACGCTGAGCTTTGGGTTAAAAAAAACAAAAAACAGTGCAGCTGAAAAGCGGATCTTGAATCATGTCTGTGGTTCTCTGTAATTGCTTTCGCCGAAGGTTTTGGAAGCTCGATCCATTTCTGGGAAACGCTTCCCGGCCGACTTTAACCAAGTTTTCTCCCTTTTTTTTTTGTTTTTTTTTTTTGCTTTTTGTTTTTTTTAAACTTTATTTTATTAAAAACTTTTCTACAAAAGAATCCGTGTATAGAAAAAATACACATTGTTTCCAAAGTGCACTGAAAGCGACGTGCACTTCAATATATAATAATGCACAAGAGGAGGAGGAGGAGCTAATGGAGCGTAACAACACTCGAAAATAGAGTGTTTCTATGATTGTGTTTGTGTAAAAAGCCGGGGTTCTGCTCCACACTGGCGACTTTGTGTGCATATTTTAAAGGAGCACCTCCTTTTGCAAGCGGTGCTCTCCCACCAGTTCAGGTTTAAGTGCCGAAGAAATGAAATCAAGTGCTCCTACACGGGTAGAAATAATGAACAATAGTTTTTGGGGTTTTTTTTTTGCTCGGGCTCGAGGACTCGCTGCTCATGTGACTCTTCCTCTCTCTCGCACACACACGGAACCTCAACATCCATAAAACAAGAATAATCACCAACACTGTTCTAAAACTCCTACTAATACATTCACTGTGGACACTCTGGGTGGAGGCTGTGAGGGTCGGAAACACACACCCAGCACAGACATGAGGAGTGTGTGCTTCGACGTACGCAGAGCCGCGCTTTCATCAGACGGAGACGCTCGAGTTCGTGGGTCTGCCGTGATCAGGTGAGTTATGTCTGACCCGCGCCGAGCGCTGCCGTCGGTCAGAGGTGATGGTTTCCCCTCGGCGGGTCAGAGCAACATGTACTGGTTGTCTATGGCCCGCTTGCGGCCCCGGTCAGGCTCCAGCTCATAGTCCGAGTCCCGCTGAGGGATGATGGGAGTGTGAGGGTTGGCGTGGCGGAGCAGGGGCCTCCTCCCCACCGACTCGCTGCGGCGCAGAGGAAGCGGCGCCGACGGGGCGGGGTCGGGGTGGGCGCGAGTGAACGGGTGATTTCCCGGCTGGGACGCCGAGCCGGGGCTGGAGGTGGTGGTGGTGGTGGTGGTGGTGCTGCTGCTGCTGGTGGAGCAGGAGGAAGGGGGGTGGCTGGAGCTGCGAGCCAGACTGCAGTGAGCCAAGCTGGGCTCGGAGCTCCACCGGTGGAGGGAGAAGGGGACGAGGAGGGCGCCCGAGAGCTGACCTGAGGAGAGACAAGAGAGGGGATGAGAGCTGTGGCGACTAGAACGAGCAAAACCTTAAACGTCGTGATGGCACTAAACCTCTGAACCTCAAAACCCTTCAGCAGGTTTCAGAGAACTTAAACCAATTACAAGAGCAAGAAACTGCAAATGCAGGAGGATTCGTTGGGTTTTTAACTCTGACAGTTCGTTAACTATACTTCATTTTTGGTTTAAGATCGAGCTACTTCCTTCAAATCTCTTCATTCTGCGTGCCTCATTTAGAACATGAACTATTTGCTGTGACCAGATTCTGTAAAGAAATAAAAATAAAGAAACCTGTGCATCAAAAAAAGCCCCGAGCGACTCAGCTGCAACCAACAGTCCAAAACAAACAACTCAGGGACTTCTCTGCTGGACTGCAGGCTGTGTTTACACGGAGCAGATCTTTTTAAATAATTTATGGCATTATAATTGAGTTTTCTCTGCTTCTAGTCATAACTATGCTGTTTCTGTAAAGTTGCAGGACTTCTCAGATCACTGAAAGTAAAAATGTAAAAGCAGCAAAACGACGCCCAGCTTCGAGTTCAGCGGATTAAAAACAATCCTGAACTATATGTTTCTAGCTTTGACTCGTGTTACTGATGCAAACGTTAAGACAGATGGACCAAGTTACCTGCTGAGATCTAAGAACAAGGTGACATCAGTACAGGAA